TCGACCATCCATGCATGATACGATCGCGTTGACCACGCCAAGACGATGCAAGTTGGCAACCAAAGCGCTACAGCGCTCACGAGAGATTTCGTTGGTAACAAGAATGCCGGTGTTTTTCATTAGGCCTGATATGTAGGTACTTTTACCTCCAGGGGATGCACAAAGGTCAAGAATTTTCTCGTTCTCGCGGGGAGCCAACGCCATCACTGGCAAAAAACTGCTGGCGCCTTGAAGCATGTAATGTCCGGCAAGATATTCGGGTGTGGCACCTGTTGAACAAAACATTTCTTAAAGTTTGAAAAAGTGGAAATACAGATTTTGGAGAAGTCACCATCCTGATAAATGCGCAAGGACGAAAGCGGCCGCATGAGTTAAACTATGAATGTGAATGATGCTAAATGGGAATCATTTTAAAGTTACTGCTTCGGTTAGTGGTCCAGCGATGCGCACAACGGCTCGTTTATGATGCAAGAACGGATGAAAAAATAGACGGGAGACAAATTCAGTTGATGCATTGTCATCTATGTTAAGGAATCGCCTTCATTTCTTATCTGGAACGACTAAACGTTAGGCCTAATCTGTGAATGACTAGGGCACTTTTGGAACAAAGTTTCGACTAATATACCTGCTAATAGGAAAAAAGATTTGATTTCACAAGATCAGGCAACAGATACTATTTTGCGGGCCATCTATCACAGTTGTAGCTCTCAGTTATTTAATCAAACGTAAAGGACCCTATGGGAGAGAGTTAAGAATTATGAAAGAACCAGTAGATGACCAGCAGCTGACAAAGAGGTTTTAAGGAATCTAAAAAAACAAAACGATGACCGACACGCATTTAAATCATCTAAAGCATTGCAATGACTTCAAAGGAGATCACTATAACTGTAACCACTGTTATATCAATAAGCCACTTTTGAACTATTGGTGGTGGAAACCCTGATAATTCAAATGACAAAACGAGACCATTAAAAAACACCGTAGTTTGCAGATACCTGACTAGAATCTGCTTCAGTAAGTATTTATAAAGTAAATAAGTATTTAGGAAGAAATAAGTGATTAAGAGTTTCTTGAGTAACTGAAGCAGGTGTTGTTATCATCTCCTTCAACGATTACCAATAGCAGAATAAAGCGAAGCGACTGGACAGCGTCATCAGAAAGTTAGATCATGGCTGTCAAGTTTTTTCAAAATCATATAGCTCTCACTGGGCAGCAGCTGACAATAAGAAACTTGGACTGCGGTTGACTACACCTACAGATCACAGGCTGCTTTGGACATCCGGTAGACAGTCATGCCGTCAAGCGCAATGACCTGGACCAGAACCGACCTGATTTATTAAGGGCCCACTCTGGGCCAAGATATCACCATAAAGACTTGAGCTACTCATACAGACTGATGAAAATGGATGGGTCTCATGCACGAATTTTCTGTTGCATGATTTATTAAACTTTTTCTTCCGGATAAGTGCAAGTTAAAACCGACGCGTACATTACATTCTTTATCCACAATGTGAATATACTCTCATTCATCCAAAACATGGCGTACTGCTACATTTATCTAAGAAGTCTGCTTGTAATTTCGGAGGTGACGGTTTAGATTCCGCTCGATGTCTTTTCCACGAATTCCCTTGAGCAACGAATTTATCACACATTGTATCAGACCGGAGTTGAATAGTAAGCAGAGTCAAACACTGATAGGTCTCGAGTTCAAGTTGCGGTCGTGATCACTCGCCCTTCATCCTTATGACACTGATGGGTATCACCCTGTGGAAAGTAAACTGGAGAATAAATGCTACGCTTGCCACGTAGACTCTGCCTTAAGAAAATAAGGTACTACAGGTTGATGGCATGGAAACGTAGATCAGCACGTACAATCAAGTTCATGAAAAAAAAGCACGCCAAAATGGTACAATCATGGAAAGGAAAACCAATAATGAAACGGTGAGAAACTTTCCTTCTCCGCAGTCACAATGGCTAGAGGATATTTGTAGGGTCACCAGACAGCGGAATTTATTGCCTGACTTACCAATGGGAACTTTAGAATCGTATACAACCAATCCAACCTTCGACCAACTTCCGACCGGGTCTAAATTCACTCCACGACCGATGAGAGCCTGGAAATATACAGTATTTGACAAAACAATGGATACCAAACTATCGCATTTTTTACGATTAATTAGTTAATTACCTGTGCCAGTTCTCGCCTACGTGTTTTCAGGGTATTACTCCTGATTACCAAGGGCCTTTCTACTTCGTTTGCCTCAAGAAATTCTAGCAGCTATAAAAATCACTGGTAACAACTACTATCTCACAATCCGGAATAAACCGATTACCTGCTTCAAGTCAAACAACTCCATGAACTTTTCCATCATGAACGCGTTATAGCCATAATATGTGCACAGATCGGAATGCAGCAGTTCAACGTACTCACAACGACTCCTGAACGAAAAATTTATGCCAGGAACAAAACTGTCTGAACGATTACCGCAAAAACAACATAGGAATGGAAAACTTTTCTAGCAAATGTTAAATGAAACCTGGAGTCGTTTCATATACAGAATATCTATGGTTTGCAATGTCCTTTATATCTGTAAATTTCCAACACTACTCTCTTCGCACAGTATCGAAGAAGGAAATATTCCTCTCCTCCAAAAAAAGATCTGCTTCTATCCTGTTGTCGCATGTTGGCCTCCTGGTCGACGTCTCTCCTGTTATTGCTCTCACATGAAAACCTCATGGGTCTGAGTACATGGAACATGCTTAAACAGTTTTTCTAACACGCTAAAAATCTTTAAACTATTGAAGTCATTTGAAAATATAGGAAAATAATTATTTATTAAGTGGTCCTGTAACTTAATTCTCATTACGCGTTGAAGCCAACGCTGCTATACGCGATTTAGCAGTTGCTTTTGCTCCTTCGTTAAAACAACTGTCTCCATGCTCACAACAGTACTGACCTGACAGAGGAAAGGTTCAGGCAGATTTTTGTGAAAAGATATAGTTGTCTCAGACCACATATCACACTAATATGCAACACATAAAAAAACTGCATTTGCCGTCAAATAAGGTAAAACAGAAAAAAACAACTCAACTATACAATAACCCTTAAGTAGTCGCGTCGGATCTATATGACTCAAGTGACACTTTCATTGACTAAACTTAATATATTTAGAACCGAGGGGTCGAACGAGAGTTTAATTTAATCTCCTAATCAGTTTGCTTTGCTTGCCTAATTTCGGTACCGCTGAATTCGTCGAAGTTATATGCAGTCCTTCAAAATATCAGGTTCTGATCAGAGGAGACTGTGGATGACTTGAAAAATTTTTTCATAAATCGGTGTTGTTTATTGTTTCTCGATATTGTGGTGATATATCTATGAAGTACATTTTGAAAATTCATTGTAAGAATATTTATTAACACAATGTTGTAAATATGTAACTTTTATGGGGTTAGAAATATGCATCTTTTTCAACTGTAACTGTTTCATTTTGTTTCTAACTTGTACTTAAAGAAATCGACGTGTTTAATAAAACTCGCTACTCCTGTTCCATTTCATATATCTGTTTTCTGATTCCTCTATATTACTGAGGTGTTTCTAAAGAACCTTTATATGCTTAAGAGTAAAGTAATAACTCAATATGACCCAACGCGAATGGGTATGTAACTTTTGACACGCGACTACTCTTAACAGATAAGCGTACTCAATCAGTTAAGTAAATTTGCAAGAGCGCTGGTAGCTGATATCGGCATAACTGAACTACATAAAGTAATTACACTAACTGTATTTGATTTCTGACGATTTTATGCTTCACATGATCCCAAATCACCAGGATGGATAAACAGCGATTATGGGTGGCTAATAATTCAGTTAACTGAAAATACTATTGAAGATAAATAAATTAAATTAAGCATTTTCAGGCTAAATATGCTAATGTCATATATTCTACCACCCGTTTTTCTTTGATTCGTAGCTTTATACCTCCAGATTTCATTTTATTAGCTTTACATGTGCGAGTGAGCTTCGATTCCCTGCTTTTGTGTTATGTAATATGTACATAACTTTCATGAATTATTTTTCTTTTTATGTTAAACAGTGGAACTCTTTGTCGCTCTTTTTCATGCAGTAAATTATTCAAAACTGATTACTGCGGGATGAGCTACACAAGAATTACCTTCACAGATCCGAGGCAGCAACGAAACCTATAGATGAAGAGAATTATAAGGGATATATTTAAATATTAGACACACCAATATGTTTTTATTATAACTTTACTAATGTTTACGCTGCGAAGACGTTCATATGAACAAGAATTTAAAGCTAAGAACAAAAAATGCGAATACTTTCGGAAATCAATTAAAAGTTTAGGACCAGGTCAAGTATAAGGAAGAACTTACCGTTTCTTATCCGACGCTTCCTTAAAATTTTCAAGGATACTGACAGTATCTTGTATCCTCTCATTTACCGACTTTAAATCAGTCGGTTTCTGGCCGAATACCTCTCCATACAGATTATCCTCTTCTTTGCCATAGTCAACGTTAAGTCGCAACTCTTCATCGCCGAGTTCTTCGTCCATTTTCCTGCGCTTCTCCAATTTAGCGGACGCCTCTTCGATAGGCAGTTCATCATAATCATCAGAATCATGACCGCTGGATAAACTTCGGGTTCCTTCCTGTTCCAGAGTCTCGTCTTCTCCCGAAACTGTGGCTTCCTCCTCGAAGAGTGCAAATTTAGTGCTGGAAACAACTTCATTTTCATCAACCGATGACTGCAACTTTTTGAGCTTTTGCTTCTTAGCGCTGGAATTGCTCTCCCTTGAACGATTCTTTTTTTTGATTTCCTTAGTTTGCATTTTAACGGTCATAGCAGTTGCTATCAGTGCATCACCGAAAACCTATTATCGTACGAGTGGCGATATTCTTAAGTTGGAATGCGACTGTTTGACAGTTTGCTGTTTAAACTTAAACATACCATTATTACGATTAGCGACTATAACTATCGAATAAAATATCTACCAAATTAGCTCAGACAGAAAATCATACCTTAGTTGTTGCATAAAAATTTACCGAAAGGTTTAAATTGTATTTACTAGAAAAAACTTTTCGTAACAGAGATCATATTAACAATTTGAAAAGTATCTAATTCTACACAATTTGGGAAAATGCGGCACGCAACGAATGAAATTTTGCTTGGCCTTGCCGGTATTCATCAACAAAAAATGATCTGAGTCACTGAATTGATCTGTTGAATGTTGCCCCTATTGGTCGGTGTTTTCCACTCAGACAAGCGGTACCTTCGTGTCGCGGCTTATCATTTGTTGCATGGGTGCCATGTCTTTGTTCGATGTTGATTTCGTCTTCTTCTGGTCGAATACAATCTTACACTTTGGTAGGTAGTCGTGAAACTTTATCCTTCGATCGGAACAACACAGCAACGGAAAGTTGGTTCGCACTGTGAAATAATGACTTAATCCTGTTTGTTCGCTGCCATATACGTCGTCTACCTCATACTTCGCCTGAAACGTCTTCAGCTGACGTGCTTAACTAACTCATGCTGACCGTTACTTGGCTGTACAAGTTGGAATGAAAAAATGCGCTAAACAGAACTAAATATTTGTGTTCCATACCACAATTTAAACAGGATCGAAGCATTTTGATGAGGTATCGGAAAGCAAATAGTTATCAAAAACTTTATGAACAAGCGGCAGAGTCAAGATCTGGAACGCGAAGAAACCAGAAAAGCTGGTCGCTACCCAATGGATTTAAAATGTCCATGATGTATCTGAAATTGGGAAAATTTTGAACTCTGTGAATGTCTGCGTCACTTTGATCGAATGGTAAGCTTGGGTCACTAATTAAAATTAGCGAAAGTCGTATTCACCCAGAAGGTGAGGAAAACACAATCTATCGTTAACCTTTCAAAAAATTCGGCCCTTGTGAGTGGAGTATATGGTCGAGCGACCATGTAGCTACTTACAGGTAAAAGAGCTGTAGGGAAACTGAAAGCAGTAATTACTGCCAGTAATTCTACTCTACGATCCGTTCTCACGCCGGAGTTATTCTTCTGGCACAACCCACTCGGATTGTCAGAGTTATTGAACCGTAACCTATCTACAGAAGAGTGATATGAACCATATCATTTTACTGAAAATTTCTCCGATATAAAACGTTCCCCTTCCTTTGATATATTTCTGATAAATGTAATCTTATGTTTTGCGCTCTGTTCTTAATATAGACATTATTAGCAACCTATGATACTGTCTTCAGATGTTTTACTGCTGATGATAGTCTTTTACCACCCGTATAAATTCTCTTCCGTTTTGGATGAACTGTTGAGATCTGTTCGAACTATGATATCAACTGAATAACTGGACCGTTTTCTACATTATTAACTGACCTGAGAACTAAATATAAAACACTAGATGAAGCACAAAACGGACATGCCTTAATGCACTCCCAGGCAAACAGAAGCAAAGGGGCGGTGAAATTATGCTGTCGCCATAAAGTGAGATATAAATTTTTTAAGAGATGGGTGTTTAAACGATTCATGGTATATGGTGTCAGTTACAGTAAATAGTACAAACCGTTGCAAAGACCGCTGCATCATCAGGGCAAGGCTAAGTACAAGTGATATATATTTTTTTTCCGATTCTTCGAGCAAACTTAAAATTTGAAGAAGTAGGAAATGACTCCTCCAAGACCAAATTTCGCTACACTATGCATTTTCCTTGAAATAGGAGGATGATTCCTAGGGGTTTCTTGGCATTTTTCCGGCTTACAAAGAGCTTAGTATCAATACAGTAAGAAATGAGGAGCAGCTGCTCCTAAAATACTATTCTTGAGAAGCACGACATGGATCCAGGCACAAAATATTGAGAGACAATTCTAGCGCGCGTGCTAATATTCCACAATGCTGTAGCATGTTCAAATGTCCCGGTTAAACAACTAGGAGATAGGCTTGGTGCAATATGCTATGAATTATTCTTCATCTTCAATGGCCACTTCTCCTTTCGGGTCGCGGCGGCAGACGCATCAGACAAAGCTTCCAACGTTCCCGATCCTGTGCCAGAGTCTGAGCTTCGGCAAAAGACAACTGGAGTCTGGAACAGGCTCCTCCCATACATTTGCATCAGGTCACTCTTGGCCGTCTCCTGGGCCTTCTGCCGGTCGGATTTGC